AAGGTGTGTACGGAGCTAAAGCTTGCATTAAGAAAAAGACGAAGGGGGGGGTTTCATGGATACATGTTTGAGGTGGAGAAATACGAAGGCCAAATATTTGTGAAAAGTCCACAATGGAGGCAAGTAAGAAGAAATCAATAAATCTATTCAATGAAAGTCGGTAAAATGAATTTAGTGATTTTTCTATTAAGGTGGAGATTGTTAGGTTTGGTGATAATCAAAATCACCACACTTACATTTCATTCAAAAAATTGAGGGTATTATAGAAAAAGAAAAAAGGGGCTTCCTTGGTGAATAAGAAAGAAACCCAAGTGATCTCTATAAAAGAGGGCTTAAGTAAGACAAAATACTCATCCTTTTGAGGGTCACCCCTTTAGGGGTTATGAGAAGGGATCTTCAAGATGGAGATGATTCTCTAAGAGAGAGAGACATGGCTTTCAAGAGAGAGACAGTATTCCCATGGGTTTTGGATTATTTAAGTTTTCACTTCTAAAGGGAGAAAGTCTCTTGGTTGCTCTCAAGAGCTCTTTCCAATAGTGGATAGCGGTGAGAAAGATATTGATCGATGGTGTTGCTCGATCGGCAGAGTGAGTTTAGAAAAGAAGATCGATGAGGGTTTTCTATCAATATTTAAAGAAAGATAATATCTTTTCTTTCCTTTTTATCTCTGAAGAAAGGTAATATCTCTTGTAACCCAAAATTTTAATCTTCATAGTGATAGTGGATTTCTATTTATCGAGGCCGTGGATGTAGCTCTACGGGGGGAACCACATAAATAGTGTGTTGTGTTGGTGTGTTTTTTTATGTTTGCTTTATTTCTTACATTTGATTTATAGTTGTATTCATCTACTTCGCATTTAATCAATTGTGTACACCATCTTGAGTAGGATCCCAGTATTTGGGATTTCTGGTTCCACAAGCAAGGGTTCTTGAAAACCCTATACTTTATTCTTATCATATAGAGGCATATATAAATACATATTATTGAATTAAATAGTTCAAGCCATAGATATGTGCACATATGTACTATTTATAATCACGATAGTACTGTATTGTGGTATTTTATAATTTCCTAATTTTTGGATCCTAGAAAATCAATGGGATTGTCACATGTAGGTATAACTTCCTACCTAAGGTCTCCCTTTCTCCTCCTCCTTATAGTTTTGATTCTTATGAGATAAGTTTGAATTTCTATAATATCTCATTGATCGATTTTGGGGTTCGTTTCTATATTGATATCGGCCTTTATAAAACTTACACTTTCTAAAATCGGTGTATGGTAGAGAGGGAGAGATCCTTTTAAATTTTAATCTTAACTTTCTATTATTTAGCCTTTCTAATTGGCGTGCTTAGAGAACTAAGGAGAGATACTTTTAAATTTTAATATTATATTAAAAAGTAAAAATACACCTTATACTTGCTGCCTTAAAATCCCCGATTTATCGGACACTTATTCTACATTCTCTCATAAGATAGAGTCCCCTTTATTCTTGCAATACATATCTATGTTTTGCCCAATAAAAAATTCAAGAACTAAATAAACAAAATCGATAAACGACTTACTCGGATATGACTTTATATCATACAAGGGACTTAAAGTTTCATACCAAAACCTATAGACCAAGTCATCCGGTGACAAGCTACCCTGAGAGTCCTCTTTGGTAAATTACATTCACAATGGATGTCTCATTTTCATCCTTCTCTCTCTCTCTCTTTGGGTTAACCTCTTTTTATAGAGAACCATTTCATTTGTAACTCTCACATTCATGGTCTATAGGAGTTGAGATCCAAATATAACTCCTGCCTTAATTATTTTATGTGAAGCTAATTAGAATTAACAAGTTGTCATCAAACTATTAATCTTATGTAATGAGCTAAACATGTTATTAGTGCACTAATGACTCACATAATAGGATGCCATCCAAGCATTCCTACAATTTGTATAAGATATTTAGAAATTAAATAATTTTATACATTTATAGTATAGAAAAACAATTCTTACAAGAACTCCAAACGCATCACTGCGTTTTCCCTCTAACGCCACTGGGTTTTCCCTCTAATGCAACATCATATAAAAGCTCCAAAATAGATCCTAGTATATGGCATTATCTCATGTCAACTATATGGGATTTCACATATACTATACAGTATGACTTTTGTACCATTATTGAAAAATAAATCAGGAAAAAAGGGCCTGATAGGCCACATTTCCAACAGTCCACCCTTAGCTTAGCTAAATAATGTACTATAGATATGGTCATTCTAAAGAGGATCCCAAAATTTATGACTAAAATATAATCCCAAGCTACTTTTTTCCCCAAAGGACACAGTTTCTATGTGGCCAGCCTGTGTATTGTAGAAATGCGGGCTTGGCAATAAACTATTTTTAAAATATAATTTGATTTTTCTCTTTAACATGGAGATCATGAATATGAAAAAAGAAAAATAAAAACTAGAAATAATAATTATATTAAAAAAACAGTTGAATCGTTAGTTATACTTGTTTTTAGATGGACCACCTATTTGCATCCATCTTTAAGATGGACGCTTTATACCTCTAGACCGCACATTATAGAAATGCGGGCCAGCCCATATGATATAATTTTTCTCTCGGTTTTTTTTTATTATTATTGGATAATTCAGTGGGGACAACAGGTCGTGCCTGTCTTTTCAATAGATTAGGGAGTTGCATTTTGAAGGTGTTAATTGAGGGCGTCAGCTGTGAAAGAAAGACCTATCTTATATGATGGGGAAATACAATTTTGCCTTTTGTTTTCAATAATAATCACCCCTTATAATTTTGACATCAAGATCACTCACAGGTGGCCTTATAACAAGCAATAGAAATTCCAAAAATGAATAACACATCAATAAAATAAATCTCAACTACTTGATACCATTCATACAACCTAATATTATGCTTGAGAATATAAAAAAAAAAAAAACAATTAAAAGAAAAGACGTCAGAGATTACCTCAACTGGGCTTTTTACACCCCACATCGAGTCACCACATCCAATGGCGCGGGATCAACGGTCCAGCTTCAATCTCGAACCGGAAAAGCTAATTTCAGCCAAACTATGTAACCACCCTTAAATTTCTATAAAATCTTAACTCCAAAATAATTAGGCTTAGACTCTAATTTTTCTAACCCTTAGATTAGATCATGAGAGAGAGAGTCTCTATGTTGGGCGTGCCCCCTAGGGTCCTTTTTAGGAGAGAGAGAGTAGAGAGAGAAAATAAGAGGGTAGGGAGAGAGGGGCATGGCCCCTAAGGAAGATAGAGAGAGAGTTTGTGGGAGAGAGAGGTGTGTTAAGATGAGGGGAGAGCACCCGTATTTATAGTGAAATTTAGGTCTAGGGTTTCTTTATGGTTTCCGATAGTTTGTCTCTTTCTTGAGATTGAATATGGACCGTTGATCAAGGTGCTTTGTGGGGTAAGAGATCTGAGCCATCCATTTTATAGATGGGCCATCAACATTATGGAAGGTGCATGAACAATTATTACCCTTTCCTTAAACCATTTTCCCATCAATATATTTAAATAAATTAAATCCATTAAAGATATAGAGCATACTATAAACCGCATATTTCATCTCATATTCTCCGTAATAATATTTTAATAATATCAAGTCAATATATTCCTTCAATAATCAAGATAAGATATGGTCAATATTTCCTAATCAATATTTGACTACATACTACAAGATGTAGTTACCATATTTAACCAACTTGAAGACAAAGCAACAAGATAAGATATCCAAGGGTGGGGCGTGCCACCCATGTATGGCATGTGGGGCCCCACCTAATACCCACATGGTGGGCCCATGTGCACTATGGGTCCCCATGTATTTTTTTTAATAATTATTTTTAAATTTAAACAAAATAAATTTTAAAACATTATAACTTTGTAAATTAATAACTTTATTTTTACAAGACTAAAAATAAGAAATAAAATATCAAATGACTTACAAAAATTCAAATAATAAATCTAAAATAATTTAATAATAAAGTCAACATAATTAAATTAATATGATGGGTAGTGGATCCATATGGTTCAGGAATTCAATCAACGATCACGAGGTACTCCACCTTCAACTGTGGACTACAGACAACACTTGCTTTATCGAACTGACCCAGTGTTTCCCATGACCCACAGTCCAAGCAGGGGTTCATTAGCAGGCCACCAAAGTCTGGTCGATGAGCCAAAGAGTTGCAATCCCAGTCTGTGGATTACAGGTCCTCCCCCAGAGACAAGTCAAGGTCACCACGACCTGATGCGACCACAGTTCTATGATGTATAGGGATATCTCTCGCACATGTATATGCTTCACCCAAAGGTGGATATCTAGTTTTCCCGAACGATCTATCTATGTGCATGCCGTGTGATGGAACAAGGATGAGGTTTTGACTCTCGTCTCTATAGGCCTACCATCACATACAAGGGTCACACAATCCTCGGCTCACTCATCTAGACATAAGCTCCGACCTCATCAAGGGCTAACCTAAAAACCTTTCTCGGTTTATTTTTTATGCCCAGGTACATTGGGTTTTCCAACCGATTGGTCTAGATCATCAAGCATAGTTCGTTATCCGCAAATATCATTTGCTTAGTATGATCTTTGAGGGACCACACTCGTACTGAGTTTATGTTCCACTATAGTAAATAGTTTTCATTAGACACTCATAAAGCCTTTAAAGGCCACATAAACCCAATAAGCTATAGGAATGGACATGCTCCTATTAGAACATGGTACATGTACTAAAAACTTAATCCCTTAAAATTAGCCATTAAACTCTAAAGAATTTTTTTTGGAGAATTAGGTAGATGACACCCACCTATCAATCAACTGACTGTGGAATACCAAGACTCCGTCTTGTGTCTCCTTTTGGCTTCTCTCGCTAGTCCGCAGTAATGAACGTTAGATATGAGAAAGGTAGGTGCACTAAAATGGTTAGATGTTGCGCATGATCAGAGATAGATAGTTGGCGCTCATATATATGAATATCTTTTGAAACAAAAGTACATTCGAAACATAGAAACAGAGAAAGAGAGATGACTGTGACTGCAGCAACAAAGGACACAGTGTGTGTCACAGGTGCATCTGGGTTTGTTGGATCATGGCTCATCATGAGGTTGCTGGAGCGTGGTTATGTGGTCAAAGCAACCGTTCGCGATCCTGGTCTATCTCTTTTCTCTTCTTCCTTTGCTTTTCCATTGCATAATTTTTATTTTTTTATTTTTCATTGCATAAGTTACTGCAGATTTGAATCCAATCTTTGTGCTAGGATCAAAAGCCAATTTAAAATTTAGAGAATTGTGTCCGAGTTTGTAGCGAAAGATTTTAGGAATGACAAGAAAAGCCATACGGTAGGGAACAGATTTTCTGGATGCGCTTCACCTTGAATCATAGGGTGGCAATGGATCGTAGGTAGGTGTCCATGTCTGGCTGGATCCAAGGGTAGGTATGTGTCCAGGTCTGGCTGGATCCAACTCAAAAATATACTAGTATGACCCGTATGGAGTTGCCAGACCTTGACCCAGACCCGAATTGTTTATGAGGGACCTGACCTAAACAGACTTGACCGGAAAATCGAAAAACAGAGAGAAGCTCCTGATCTTGTGCACAATGTGTTGCATATCAAAGTACCCATCGGCTATTACCCATCAGCTAGTATACTAATAGCTTCATTTCTCAAGAGGTTTATTGTGCGAAAGTCGGGGAACTTTCAAAAGGGCTTGTATAAAACCGTGCTTTATCATATGGAAATGTATAAAAATTTGATTCAAATATCCATACATCATATATCATCTATTTACATGAATAGCAATGGATAACAGCTTTGTTATTTGCATCTGGAGCTTTGTTGTCCTCCCCCTCCTCTTCCATTTAACTAAATAGCTATCTTATATGTATTACAATCTAAAGATTGAAATAAATTGATGAGATTTGGTTCAAACTATTTAGTTTTTATATAAAGAGGTCTCAATTATTAGGGACAATTACATGATTGAAATAAATTGATGAGATTTGGTTAAAACTATTTAGTTTTTATTCGAAGAGGTCTCAATTATTATGGACAATTACATGTGATATCGGGTTGTTGAGGATGCCGTTGATTGGATATAGAGTTTCAAATGAAATTTTTAAATGTTGTGACACTTCAATTCATCAAATTTCATATCCAATGGCTAAAAATAATTGTAACCTTATTGTACTAAAAATGAATGATCTTATAGTATACAATCCCTTATTATAAACATAGCATGGTCATAGGGTCATTGTTGTCCCACAATAGATTGGACGATGATGAGGGTGGAAGACTGATATGTACAATTGAAACAAATGCCATATTTGGTGGTACCACACTCCAAGCATTACAGTCCAACCCAAGCAATGGTGATGGCTTCCCAAGGCCTCACTGTTCCTAAGACCTGATAAGCTACAACATGTTTACTCTTTTCAAATAAGGAAAAAGTTTATATAAGGGTGAGGACTTAACCAATCAAATCAAAAAAAAGAAAAGAATTTGTTTCGATACTGAAAAACCCTTAATCTGATCATCTCGACTTCAGGATGTATAGACATAAGAAAAAATATATTTTAAGTCTTCGAAATAGTGCATCTTGTAATGCATCATCTATACTGTCGATTTTCATGATTTACAAGTACTCATAGATATGCCCAATTCACACTTTTTTAAAATTTTATAATTAGTGTTGAAAATAAATTTTCAGACCATCATAAAGATTTCTGATACTGAAACATATATTTCGATATCATTTGAAGGTGCGTCTTACTTTGATTGTTTAGAGCCTCAGGTTTATACAAACCACACCCTTCAAATAATCCCCAAGTAGTATATTCCCCACGTATGCCAATCCTCGGACCCCTTGGTATTGAACGGTTGTGATTTGTAACATAATCATAAGTTTTTAAATGGACAATTGGAAGGTTCTTGGCATAAAATGTACCTCTATTTTAAAATTTCTTTTTTGAGATCAAATCCAAGACCATGGCAAACTGGGATAGGAATTTCGAGGTTCCAACAGTACACAAAGGCCATTTTGGGGAGTTGACAACAAGCTTATTGTTTAAAGAATTATCTCATGGAAAAAGTTTATATAAGGATGCTACCTTATAATGTAGGATGCCCCCTCAAAAAATCCAGGTAATTTTAATGTTGAAAAACCTTTCGATTGATCATTTCGACATTGCGATATATGACTATGAAAAATAAAAAGATTTGAAGTATCAGAAATAGTGCATTTTACAACATATTATCTACACTGTCCATTTTCAAGATTTTCATATGTTTATAGATCTACTTGATTTTAACCATTTTTTAAATTTAAAATTTTATAATTAGATATGAAAATAGACTTTGAGATAATCCTAAGAACATTTTACATCAAAATTATATACCATGATAAAATTTGAAAGTGCACCTTACCTCTACACCTACATATGCATCCGAATGCAAACTGCACCCTTATCTCATTGATCACAAATTAAGGTTTCTCTTTATATCTTCGTCTTAAAATGTGAGTAGGGAACAAGGGACTTCCCAAGTGGTCAAGTTCCCCCCTTCTCTGCCATCCTTTTGTTTCATCCTTGTACGTTCTTCCATGTCAACACCCATACTGAATTGAAGGTCGGCAACGAATATAAAACCTCTTTCATTTTTTATACCTATAGGATCCAAATCCGACTTAGCTAATTATTATTTTTCAATCCTGAATAAATACTTCAGAAAAATGTACATTAAGACTGTGTGTGTTTAGTATATTAAAATCACAATCACTCTTAGCCATTGGAATTGAAACTAGACAGATATAGGTATGCTATATACAACTTTTAAAGTCCGAAAACTTTTTCTCGAATTTTGTTACACATCTCTTGCCACATGATTTTACATCTAAGGGTTAAGAGTGATTGTGAACTTCTTGTGCCAAAAATAAATAGTCATGTAGCATATAATTCTAACATTTTGAGACCCAAAAAAAGCCTAATTAGATATATATGACAGTTGTTTATTCCCTAGAAAACTAATTTCCCTAAAAAATGTTGGCAAAATATGTTTGTGAATGTGACAGAAAACATAAAGAAGACCCAGCATTTGTTGGACCTTCCAAGTGCGAAGGAGAGGTTGACATTGTGGAAGGCAGACTTAAATGATGAGGGAAGCTTTGATGACGCCATCTCCGGATGCTCTGGTGTCTTCCATGTCGCCACCCCTATGGATTTCGAATCACAAGACCCTGAAGTAATCACTCATTTTCCCTTCTTTTTATTTTTTCATCTTTTATTGATCTTAATTTGGAGTTAAAATTCCACATTAGTAGTTAGTAAGAAGGAAATGTTACAATGTCAAGTATTAAAAAGTGTTAAAAGGGGTCATGAATGCAAATGGTGCCTAACTTGAACTAACATTAGGCTAAAGTGACTAACCCAAGAAACAAGGAGCATGTTAGCCCTATTGGACGCATGAAATTTTAGGAATAGCACCTTATTTTTTGTCCACCAATTCAAGAGTGATAAATCTTTCAGGTCGGTAGCCTATTATTTGTAAGTTTAAGTCATTCAGTTAGCCAGTGCAAGAGCCCTAACGTCCATAGGTGGACATTATAAAAAACTCATAGAAAATGAATTTAGATGGTGTAGAAATTTTCTGTAAAAAAAAATCTCATTTAAAATATTTAAATTTTTTCATGAATATGCACAATATGAGTCGGCTTACTTGTAGAAACCCAATCATTTTTGTATCCACACACTTTTATCTATTGGATTTCACATCTAATGGTTAAAGTGATTGTGACCTCTTTGTATTAAAAATAAATTATCTCATCTCAAGAAACTTATTTTTCTATTCAGGAAAAAACAATGCAATTTTCATGATTGTCCATAAAAGTAAATTGGGTTAGTTTCATTATACCGCTATTAATGTATCCAAATGGTACCTTAGCTCAGAGCATTGTGCCCTGTGGCCATTTACCAGGACATTGCAAGGAATTTGGTTTGTAGCTTAAAGGAAGGCCAATGGCACTAATGGAAAATGTATTTTTTTTTTTTCCATGAAAGATACTTCATCATCATCATTATAGCCTTTTTCCAATTAATTGGGGTCAACTATACGAATCCCAATCTGTTATTCTACTCTATTTTAGGCCATACCCTTGGTGACTATGAAAGACACTTAATTTTATTAATTATTCAACAACATACAAAAGATCAAACTGGAACAGATCAAAACTCACGAGCACCAAACAAAAAGTTAGTACTGATGAACTCCTTTAGCCAATTCATCTACCTTCACATTAGCCTCCTTATAAACATGACTAAAAGAAACCCTCCATATTCTGAAAAATATCAAAATTTCAAACAAATAAATCAGAATCTCCATGGTACGAGGTACCTTTTGCTCCTTCATACACCACTTTAAAGCATTTAGGGAGTTCATTTCCGCAACAATTAACATACTTAAACTTTTGTCTTGAATCAATTTTAGTCCTTGCAAAGTTGCTCGACTTTACCTCATTTCCTAAAGAACCCTTTGAGGTTGACACTTTTTACCAATCACTCTAGAGAAATAATGAAAGAAGAATATACAGAAGTGGCAAGGAATTTGAGCCAGCAATTGATTGACCTCCAACAAACAAAGGTAACAAAATAACTAAAGCCTTCAATAGTAGTATTCAAGTCGAAATGGCTTGAATTTCACTAATAAGCCTAAGACAATTTCCTGTTAATATATACATGTATATATATATATATATATATATGTATATGATGGGATTTCAGTGCATCAGCTAAGTCACCGTGCTTATGTGCAGTTACTAATGAGATGGATTTTGGATCCAAAAAATTTAATAGGTCAATAATCTCAACCTTGAAGATCATGGTTTTGAAGAAAAAATAGATCCAAAAATTTGATTATTTTAAACATGTTTTGGATTGGCTTTTGACTCATTTATGATTTTAGTGGTATACTTAAATATTCACTAACGGGTAGTAATTTCACGCAATTGTCGTATAGTAATATAATGAAATACCCCTCCAAAAACCACGGTAGGAGCATTTGTTTGACCCTATTTTTGAACATCTAGTTAGTTCACTATGATAACCAATCTCAAAATGACAAAAAAAGAACAAGGAAATTTTAAAATGCAAATCATAACAATTATTTTTTGACAAAATAAACATAGGCCTTTCATTTGATGGGATGATAAGAGTTATGCCTTGGAGAGAATATTTTGTAACCCAATTTTTGTAGATGGCTTTATAGACAGTAGATAAAAAAATCTTCAAATAAAAAAAGAATTTGAGTTCTTAAAATTCCACCAATTGTAAGGTTTGGGTTTATTGTTGGAGAGTGACTTCTTTTAACCTTATAAATACAATTTTTTTCGCTTTTGGTATTGATTATTGGGATGAGGACTACGAGTGAAAATTTTGGGATCACACAAATATCACAAACGTGATTTTTTAAACGAGTAGTTATATTATATTATAATATAATGGTGACATGAAATCAGCCCTTATATGTATATAGGGAGTGATTTCATGAAACAATCTTAAAAACCATGCTCATACCATTTGTTTGATCTCAATTCTAAACATTTAATCTTATCATTTAGATGAACAATTACAAAAAATAAAGAACTTGAAAATACACTTTAAAGAGTATTTTTCAATCCTACTTAACATAGGCCATTTGTTTGGTGAGATGCTTAGATTTAGGCCTTAGAATGATTTTTTTTTCTTTCCTAAAACTTCTAGATAGCTTTGTTAATGTCAAAAGAGAAAAAAAATGATTTTGAAATCCTAAAGACCTAGATCTTAAAGTTTACAACATGGACCTACTGGATTTATTATTGGGGTCATAGAAATGCCACGAACATGATTTTCTAGAAGTGGGGTTTTATTATATTAAATTAACAACAATAACATGAAATCATTCTTTCCTCTC